ATACCGATCGCCAATCCGATCGAGTGGGCGGGGCCTAAATGGAAGATTTAAACATCACTTTAAATCTTCCATTTAAAGTGATGTTTAAACTCAGTTAATGGGGCTTATTCACTGGAGCTTCCACAAACAACAATCAACTTAATTATTACATTCAAATGATGTACATTATTCAAGTTTACATTCACTTTGGATAATAACACGGTAGAAATTAGCGGAAGCGCTCTCTTTTCCTCTCTCCCTCTCTCTCTCCCCCCACTCTCTCTCTCCTGACAGCCTGTCAGTATCTCATGCAGCTCACTGATCCAGTAATAGTGACCCGACAATGAAGAATACATATATTTATAATAACTAGTTTAGCTTGTTCCAGAGGTAGATAAAATAGCTAAGGTGTAACTCTTACGGTACGTCCACACAGCAGCTTTTCAAAAATCTTGAAAATCTTGGAGCTGGGCGTGTCTGAAAGCTTGGGGATTTTTTGCGAGCAACGCGACCAACAACCAATCACATGAATCTCCCGCCCCCGACATACAAAGCAAAAAACCCCGGGGATTTTTTGCGAGCAATATATATATATATATAAATAAACTCCCCAAACAGGCGAAAACCTACCAGTTTCACCCACTGTCTCTGCCACCTCCCTCCATGCCTGCTTCCTCCGGTTTGTATCCCGTTAATAGTTCTGGTCGTAAAGAACCGGGTGATTTGCTACCGTAATTTCTCGTTTGGAATATGAGGAAATGAACTGCGGTCTGGTTCTCCCTGTGTGTGTGTTTCGCTGCGTTTACCGGTCCGGCGGGCGGAGCTGCAGGATTTCTGCTTCACACACGTTGCATACCGCTATTTTACTGTCTTTTTCGGACACCTTAAAATAATGCCAGACCGGAGAAGCCATTTTGGCGAGCTTGTTTTGCCGCACACAGAGAAAAGTGTCATGTATTTTACGTCATGCGATCGGCTTTCGCGATCGGCATGTTTAGAGAGCACCGATCGATCGGTAGAGAGTGAGTATCGGCCGATCTCGATCGGTAACCGATCGATCGGAGCATCCCTAGTTGTATGGATCCCCTGCTCTGGGCACCCCTCCTTTAGGACAGTGGTAGCAGCTTTTTGAGTCTCTGGTTCTGGAAGTACATTACATTCTGAATAGACAATGTAGGGTGGAGCTCTCTCTATACTCAACACCACATACTGTATAAACAGGCTTGTAAGATACAAGTGTCCATGAACACACCAGTTAAGGAGTTAACTATGGCTCGTGAGGTGCATGCTGCTACAGAACATCCAATCACTGAGCTCAACATGTACAGCTTCCCACTAAATGGATCCATGAATCTGACTTCCTTTATTTGGCAGCAAAGTCTTTATAGTCATCTGCATAGCCAAAAAAGATCATACTTTCTCCAAAATAAATCTGTAATCAGAACTGTTATACATTCTTTTAATACAATTAATAATGTAACGTTTCTGGACATAGAGGCTATCAGCAAAAGGAATCTTTGGTCAAGGACAGGAAGTTATTTACAGGGGAAATGCTTTAGGATTCTACAACACGCTGCTCGTTCCTCACATTATTTTCACAACATAATATTTTCTTTTAGGGAGAACCTCAATGTTCCAACATGGAACACTGGAATCTCTAACTGCTTTCAGATAGTTCAAATGATTTCGACAGCAGTTGTTGTGAGTTGTAATTGAATTCTCTCCATGAAGGCTTTTCACTGGCTTTTACCTTTGGATTTTTATCAAACAACCAGAAAAGTTCAGTTTCTAATTTTCTGTTGTGATGATTCAGTATGAGTTTAACCTGTTAACCCCTGAGCCTGTTTTTCAGGCCTCAGGCTCGAAAGTGACATTCCCAGAACAAAAGACCATAACTTCTAAAAGTGTTAAATTAATAATCTTTTTTCTCAAAGCAATGATAAACCTGTGAGTTGGATGTAAAGAAGTCAGAATCAATATAGATGCTTTTTATTTGAAAGTAAATGCAGATTGAACATGGTAAAATGTAAATTATGGTGTCCGTCCAAAAATAAAACATTACTTACAGTGCAAACCACCCTTGAATGATGGGATAGTAAACTAAAAGCTTTAGGAATCCAAAGTACAACATATAATAAGTACCCTGTATCAAGATTGATGCAAAACAAGTGACATTTGACCTTTTTAGAGAGATTTAGAAAAAAGAAAAACACTTCTGGGGTCATTTGGGTGGATTTTCCATATCTCTGGAACCCATCAGTCGATTTTGATGATTGACGTCTCTTTTTAACCGTTAGAGCCAATATAATCGAGGGGAAGTTCCTAAATCCATCTAAACATTACCCATTGGTGAATAGAGTGATGCGCAGCCAGAATGCCCAAAACCGGAAGCTCTCATAATAGCTTTATATGAAAACTCAGTGTTTGCCATAAATATGACGATGGATTATCAGTAATCCTTTCAAAGTGACACAGACACATTGGATTAACCAACTTTTGATCAGAACAACAGCAAAGATAAGACAATGTCCCGTTTTTGCTCCGTAAAACTACGTCGTGTGATGTCTGTGTTTGTTTTGATCGCACAGTGATGATAGTAATACCCCTAGAATCTGTGGAATCTCAGCTATATAGCTGATATCTTGTTTGTGCTGATCCGATAAGTAATAAAGTATTTCTACCGTGAGTTCTGTGCTAAGTGCGTTAGAATTGTTCCGCTCAGGACTCATTTAGATGCTTCTTGTGAGACTTGTGTTTTGTTTCGGTAAAAATGGTGCGTATCGTCAGGTAGCTGAGTTTCTTCCCGTTAAGTGGGTTTGACACAATAATAGGTTTTTAAATGTTAAGAAGCCCTGAGACCTGTCTCAGGCGGGGGCTGCCGGGCTTAACAGGTGCATGTCTGGTAAAGACTTCCAACTGTCCAAAAATGAATGACTTTCTCCAACAACAGACACTGAAATTAACTGACTTCACTTCTCCATTGTGCTCATTGATGGAAATACTTGGTTAGTGTTGTAATATTAAAATGATGTCTTTGCAAGCAGAGTAACTACTTATTCAGGCTGTTAATTCACCAACCACACCTACAGCTCTTCACACACCTCCCACACACTCCTGCTGCTGGGGGGGGTTGACCCAGGTCAGCCTTTTCTGTCTCTACGATATGATGGTCCCATTGACATTGGAGAGCTAATTAGCAGTTAGCAGCTGAACTTGGCACTCAGAGCGCTGAGGATGTCGGCTGCTTCTCTGATCCCTGAGCCTCTCACTGAAGATGGAGACCTCTCACACACAACAAAGAGGGTGGGGGCACTGCCACCGCTGACAAGGAGCCAAGCACATTGTTTGGCTCTGCAGGATAATTGGAATATTAATTGTTTGGGATTTGTGGGTTCTTGAGTTTAACATTTAGAAGATTTCATGTGAAGACACCCAGGGAGCGGGAGAGTGAGGAGGAGGGGGGGGACTGCAGGGATTATAGTTGATTCCTGACGGGCAAACACTACCTTGTCTCTTAGAGGTAAACAGAGATCGTACAAAGTATTATCAACTAAAACCCAACATGAACTAGAACACTGGTTGATACTTGAAATCCTGAACAAATATTCAAAATCACCACTAAATCTATACAGGACATCATAGGACATAGGATGGAACTTCTGGGTTTTATTCAAAGAAATCCCTCCACAACGTTCAAAGTGTTTCTGCCTGCTTGTTGTAGGACTAGGTGGATTATTATTGGATTGAGCAAATACACGGAAAAAACTGAAACGTTGACTTTGATTAAATATGTCAACAGATTTCACATAACTGTATTAGGTTAGTTGAAAGCAATAATATTAAGTTAAAATAAAATATATTAGGTTCAACTTAATACTATTGCTTTCAACAACAAAAAAACAGTTATGTGACATGCGTTGACATAATACATTTAATGAAAGTAAATGTTTCAGTGTAGCGGCTTTGCATTTTAGTGATCCTGTGGGCTATTTGTTTTCAAATGAATCAACCCCAGTCCTCGTCTCAGCCAACCCAGTCTCACAACAAAATGTGAAATAGCTACGTTGGTCCACAGGGCAAAACGTAGTATATTCACAAATAACCCTCTCAAGAAGAAGAAATGTGTCTCTCAGAATCGAAACGGTAAAACACAAAAGCATTGTACACAATTTAAAACAATTAATGTTGTGTAATTAACAAGGACAAACTGGTGTTTTTTCGTTGATCAGTACTGCAGATCAGGGTTTCCGTTGGCCGGTTTTTAGCTGGTAAAATTGATTAAAAACCGATAAATTAAAAACCTGCCGGTCAAAATGTCCGGTGACAAAAAACATTCTTACGCTTGTAAAGTTTACAATCACGTGACATGGACACTGATCATTAGAAATGAACAGGAAAACATATTGTATCCATTTCACGTCTTGAGAGGGTTATTTGTGAACATACTTGTTGCCCTGTGGACCAACGTAGCTATTTCACATTTCTTTGTGAGACTTGTCTCAGCACCAAGCACAAGAAGCTCCACATGCTCTTAGTGATCTCAAAGCCAAAACAAATAACATATTGTTTTAAAACAACTAAGCTGAAACGTACTAGTTTCTTTTATGATTAATGTTAAAAAGCAAAAAGTTAAAGTAACCTAAAAAGACTCAATCAATCAATCAGAGCTCTATGATTGATTGTCTGACACCCCATGAATTAGTTTGGTTACATACATGTACTGATGTGTGAAGCACCTGCACTATTGTGAAATGTGTAACTTCTCCGTCAGAAATATTTTTGACATGTTACAGTAGGAAAAAACGATTTATGTAAATAATAAAACAAGGATTTCTGAACTCGAATAGGATAATAGCCTAATCATGGAAAGAGGCATTTCATTAGTAACGCTAAGAAATATTTTCCACCACTTAATTAGGTCAGCGAGTGTTGAAAACTCCAAGCTCAAATCCATTGCAAATGATGGGTCATGACATGTCAAAAGAGAAAATGAAAGGCAGCTGTAAACACATGAGACTTACCTTCATGAATATTGACACGATGACCAGTCCATTGGGGCTTTTAGCAGCTTCTGTGTAATTTGTGTACAGCTCATGGTTGTAGTGGATCAGTTGAACCTGGAACATGAGGAAAGTCAAATCATCAACAACATTTTGATGGTGGGCACAAGTTGACCCCCACAGTGAGTACAGAATAGTGGAAACCTTGGAGTTCTATGTAGGGAATCTATATTATCTCATTCACATAATCTTTCCCCTCTGCGACATCATGTCAGATGATTTAAAAGGAAAAATCAATACAGGATCAGAAGTCTCCTGTGGATTCACGGAGACACTAATGGAAGGAGGTGGTGAGCCGAACATTTGTGTACTCGGAGCAGATGTGGACAGAAATAATAAGAGGGACATAAAGAAGCGAGGATACTTTCATCGGTGGATCCAAGGCCAGCCTGCTCTCACAGCATGAGCAACATGTCTCACTGAGGCAGATTCATCCTCCGCTGTAACACTCAGCCTTTCATGACGCTGGAAACGGCTGAAAGAGGAACCTAGCTTTTAAAGGCTGTTTTGACAAAGAGTACATGTAGCTCAAAGCCAGCAAGAGGAATCTGTACATATGCATTTTTGAAGTATTTTATATTTGTGTGGACATTTGACACCTGGAATAGTAGATCAACAGGAAAGGGAGGAAGATTTAACACATTTAACGTGACACAACATTCACAACCGATCGTGACCGAGGAATGCATATCATGAAAGTTACGGTGCTTATTAAGCATTTTGGAACTTATGTGGTAACTTGCCAAAGTGCTTTGTTTTGTACGTTCATCAGTATAATAATCAAAAGTAGAAATATGAACGTTACTTATCAAATAAAGTCTCACAGTGTTTCTTAAACTTTGAATGGTGATATACACATGATAGTTTAAGGCCTCACAAGTTTATAATAAAGACATTTGTATTTATTTTAAACTCTTTTCATACAATCATACTAGAGATGTTAAGATTCACCGATTCGCATCGGTGCACCGGCATAAACGTTCAAGATGCGAGTGCACCGGTTGAAAGAGTGCACATCGGCTACAGTTTGGGTTGAACCGGGTTGAACTCGCGATGCATCGATTGCGTAGCGTCTTTGCATCGGTAAAAAACCGATTCATTCATATAAAATCCCCTCATCTTGTCAACGCTCAGCAGAGACGATCTTTGATATTTGCTTTGCCACTACGGAGGCCGAGAGTCTCAGTTATCAACACACACGGAAGTTGAGGAGAAAGAGAAACACAGCGCACCGAAAATACCTACAAATCAAACGTTTGGCAACACTTCGGATTGTTCAAGAAAGACGGTGTAATAGTCCTTTATGCTATATAGTTGACCGCAGGTCATGGAGAGTAATAAGGTATCCGTAGACCTTTGTATGAGGTATCTTTATTACTTAACAGGTCTACAGCCATGATACATAGATCCGTCCTAGATGCGGGCTTGCATACACACAGTATCACTCCGCAGCCGCACCCCATCAGTAACGTCCTGATGGTATATGTGCGCGGCACTATATACTACAGACGGTCAACTTGAAAAATCGCTCGCAAATTGTTAACGATGCCGAGCCGCTTTAAAGTACACAAGTAGTACGAGGAACTTAGCGACGCACATAAAGAGTCGACATGGGGTCTGCGGCTGAAAAGAGAAACATGAAAGTTAGACATACGAGTTAAATCACTCAGTGAGGTGTTCTGTCAGAGAGAGTGGTGTTTAGTTTACAGCAGCCTGTGACGGCCAATAATAGTTTAAATGTATTCCTCACTGTAAGCAGTTATGAAATACCTGTTTGTGAAAGGTTATTTGTATTCTTTATTGTTCATATAGAACCCACTGCTTTCTGCTCACTGGTGAGTTAGCCTATGAATGAGTGTTAAGCACATCAGGCTGGCAGCTGTATGGGCATTGCACTATGGTAGCTGTTATTTGCACATTGTTAATCATGAGCAATGCATCCTTACATTGTTTAACTGTGAGGTGTTATACAATTGTACTCTGGAGAGCTTTTAAAGGTAAAAAAAATAAACGGCATGATGGGATGTGCGGTACCAAATATGTAAAGCACTTTTTTGTTAATGTATGATTTGCTGCATATAAGGAATAAAACAAAAATCCTCTGTCATACCATATTGAAGTATCATTGTTTTTGCATCGTGTTGAATCGCATCGTATCGCACCAAATCACATAATGTTGAATCAAATCGTATCGAACTGTATCGCAACAGGGGTGAATCGCATCGTATCGCATCGCCTGGTGTTTCAAATGTATCGTTAATGTATCGTATCGTGGCAACGTATCGAGATGCGCATCGCATCGGCCTCAGTGATGGAGATGCACATCCCTAAATCATACGGATCATGTGGATTAATATGTGCGGACCGGTGGGGGGGGGGACATTTTATTTCAATCCCAACCATGGTCATGAAGAATATATGTGTTCCCTCCAGAGGGAGGTTCTTTAAAACAAACATGATTATAGTTTAAGGTTATTGTCATATAACATGTTTTGATAACCCATGCTGTCGACACTGACTGAATATGAAGGCAGTAAATACTGTACTTCAAGCACAAAGGGCTGGTAATGATTTCAGATGTTTCCCAAAGGCTCTCACGCTTTCTCTCCCTGCATCCATAAGTGCCTCATCTTCACTCATCGGCAAAGGGCTTGGCATGCACTGTACTGAAGGATATACATAAACAAATGTAAGAGGAGAGTAATTATGAAAAGCTCGATTGGGGAAGCACAGAGCGACAGAACGTCTATAAATGCAATCAAGGCGAGAGAGGAAGTGATTAGAGCCCCGCGCTGATCTGATTAGATTTTTAGGTGAGAGCGTCAGAGGCAGCCAATGTAACTCATCCACACTCCCTCTATGACACATTGCACAAAGTTAGCTGCTAGTGGGCAATACAAGGCTAGAGTGGGCCATAATAAAATGAGTGTCTGCCAAATGGAGAAGAAAGAAGGACGAGATGCAGAACAGAAGATGGAGAAAATAGAGGTGGTAATTAGCTCCAGGAAGAGATGAAACAGAGGCCTGCAGCAGCACATCGTTCATCACACACACACACACACACACACACACACACACACACACACACACACACACACACACACACACACACACACACACACACACACACACACACACACACACACACACACACACACACACACACCTCCACCCATCTGAGGCTACACTAACACTCTGAGCAGACTGCATGAAGACAGAGATACAGTTATATAATAGGGTGTGACAGATATTACAGTTACTACAAATTAGGGTCTGGGTCCAATCGCACTTCATCTAATCAGAATGCTCTGTAGAATCTACTTATCACATCCAATGGCAGGCTGCGGCAGTAGCTGGATCAGCAGTGCATAACTGGGATAGAACATATATATACAGTTAAAGGGACTCACTGACAAAACTAAATAACGTTTGCAATAACTAGGCTAAACGTACTAACTGCTCTTAAGATTCATTTGATGAAAACCATGTAAAAGCTTCCATCTGTTTATTTAAGAGAACATTTAATGCTTATTTATAAGTATCCTAAAAAGACTCGAGTAATATATCGCTCAGAGCTCCACGACTCATTGTGAGACATGCCTTTATCTATATGCAGTGTCTGATGCTCCATGAATGGCTTTGGTTAAATAAATGAACCGATGTGTAAAACACCTGCATTTTGTGACATTTTCACAAATATTTTGACATGTTACTGTAGGAAAAAACCATTTATGTATACAATAAAATAATGATGTCTGAACTCTGCTCCAGTAGATAGACAGAGCCATACATTTGATTATTAATGTTACCAAATGTATTTGTTCCTACTTGCCATTGGAATGAATATGATCTGCTGCATACCAATCATACTTTGGGTCATGTTAGCACGGGCTAGCTAAGTTCCAAACCTTAGCTCCACTTTTTATTTGTATTTCCCTCCTAAGCTGTGTGAAAGAAGGACGAGATGCAGAACAGTGGAAGGAGAAACCACTGATGGAATGCTCTTCAGAGTTTGCTTATCAAATCTAATGAAGGCTGCACTTCGGGATCAGCAGTACGTAGAACACAAAGAAACGATTCAACAAAAGGCAGACTCATTTAGCAGATAACAGCTGTCCATCAGGAAAGGGTTTCAAAATCCACTTCTTTTCCAACCAGGGATCCAAAATGCTTTTTCAAACTGGAGTGTGCTCATGTGTTTCAGCGTTGGTGTAAACATTGCTCTTGTAACGTATAAAGGCCTGTATTATGTAAGACTTCTTTATTTTTAAGTCTTACATAATACACTGAAGTAAACAATATTTTATTGCTAATTAATTTTCTCTTTTAGTTATTTGCATTGACTTTGATATTTAGGTGATTCAAAATTAAGGAAAGTGATCAGGTTACATTACTGATTATTGATTTTGATAGGTTTAAGTAATTGTACCAGAATACATTTTTAAGGTAACCATCCCAACCCTGATGTCTATTCATTTGACTTCAGATATATCTGAAGTCAAATGAATAGACATCATTATGGTCAATTAGGTTAGTTGAACGCAGTAATATTAAGTTGAACCTAATATTTTTTATTTAAACTTAATATTATTGCTTTCAACTAACCTAACACAGCTTTGTGACATCTGTTGATAAAGTACAAGTCAAAGTTTGAGTTTCCAGTGACGTGAGGTGGAGGTCTAAAGCCACACTAATGGCTCTTCACTGTGATGCTGATCTTTGGGCAGCACCACGTTTCTCACACTGGCTTTAGGACAACACTGCATGGGATAAGAAAGGGTCACTTTTCTCACTCTGGACTGTGTGTGTGGGAGGGGGGGGGGTCATGACAGCCTCTTTATGGCATGATGGCTGGCCTGGCCCGGGTGGGCAGGGAAATAGGAAGACAGCAAGTCGATAGCGTTCAGCGCTAACGGGGAGAGGGGCTTTAAATGCGCTGGGCTGGAAATGATGCTCTTCATCTCCACCCCCCCCTTCAGATGAACTGGAGCGTAGATCCATAAACAAACGGGCCAGGCCTGCTCCCCCCCACACCACACTGTGATAGAGACACCTGGCTCTTTATGTGTTGCTGGTCAGAGCTCTGTGCTAATGCTCAGACATGTTACATTTGGAATGATCATAATCAGAACACGAGTTCTTCATTCGTTTATTCCAGCATGTTTGTTCACTCCAGGACGTACAGAGATGTTCTGATGTGATTTCAACCGTGCCACAATTAGCACTCGACATCGCTTTGAAAAAACGTGCACTTTATTAAAGATGAATGGTAATTATGGGAAACAAAACACATCTAAAGCTCTGTGACCAATATTCTGTGATATTAGCTTTCCTTGTTTGAATAGGGATTCATGTGATTGGTGGGATTTGAAATGTGTGGAAATCTGTCTAATGTGTGAATCTTTTCACACTATATCATTTGTATTTTATTTGTATTGCATCATTTACATGTATTTTTGTCCATAATCATGTGGTTTCATCATGATGAGCTCTAAATGTGGCTCAGGGAGAACAACGTGTTGATTATCTACGTGTTGAAGTCAGCTTACTGTGATGTCCTTTAATGAACCAAAATTAAAATAAAACACGTTGGTGTTAGAAGTTGATCAGATTGTATAGGGGTCGGAGGATCAGACTGTATAATCAGAGGATAACTCGATGTGGTTTTATCAGTGCATAAAAACAACCCGCTGAAGGAGTGAATAAGGAATAAGGAATGATATCTGGAATATTTTAGCACTTATTAGAAGACCAAGGTGTTTCATTTTCAGATTAGACTGAGAAGTAGCTGCAGCTCTATTTACTGCTTCACTGCCAGGTCTCCTGCCTCCCCACAGTGGGGGGGGGGCTTTGCTTTGGGTCCGCTCTCTGCATTTAGTGACTTGTCCATTTGGTTAGCTTAACAGCGGCTTTTTGCAGCCTGTGCACATTTTGTTTGGTTTGTTTCACAAATTCTTTGAAGGAAAATGTCCGTATTTTTTCTACGTCGTGGAATTAATTGTGGCAACCTTACCTTGAATTACTATAAAGCATTGCTTTGACCATATGTGTTCCTTTACATATAAAGGGTGATTCTTATTCAGGATTCATTCAAAGTGGGTCGTTAGTTTGGCCGTGATTCCGATCAGCAATCATTAGCCACATTTCAAACTGATCTGAGAAGTGAAAGGCGTCAGCTTGGACACACAGCGGGAGAGAGAGAGGAGAGTTGTGATGATCACTGATCATGAGGATGAGTTAATACCTCTAAATGTTAAACATATATCACAGACTTCCTTCAACTGCATACGCTCAACTGATAAGAACATCCGTCTGTTCCATGTGCCTGTGTAGAGATCTCATGTTGCCATGACGATGTGATTGTGTGAGCACTTCTACCTATATGTCAGGGACGGATAATAAATCATATGAATACCAATGGAGGTGTGTATTGGATAACATCAATGCACTGCTTCATCCAACAAAGTCTGTTTTGATGCTGACTTATTATTCTTCCCCTGAGGCGCGCTTAATGTGATATGTGTGCATGTGATATGTGTGCATGTGATATGTGTGCATGTGATATGTCTGCATGTGTGTGTGTTTGTAATGTCAATGTGTGTGATTTATTTAGTTTGATGGCTGTATTTTAAAATATGCATTTTGATCTGTTACTATGGTGGCAAGGGGAGTGACACACACACACACACCCACCCACACCCACACACACACACACACACACCCACCCACGCACACGCACACCCACACACACACACACACACACACACACACACACACACACACACACACACACACACACACACCACAGCATGACACAAGATGTAGGAAAGGGTGAATTGAAGATGTGCGCGTTGGAGAGCTAATCCCCCCCCCCCCCTCCCCCCACAGGCTGCTGTTTCATCAGGATACTTTGCTTACAAAAGTTGTAATATGTTTCTCTTTGTTCACGTTTCAAGGACAGGCAGAGCCACCGCTCATCAGCAGGCGGGGGCGGAGGAAGAGGGAGATATTCAGCCTTTTCATTATGAAGCATCTTATTGGACCTTGAAGCCTCAGAGAGGTGGGGGAGGGCTATCGGGGGAGTCGGCGGGGGAGGAGGGGGATGTTTTCTCGTTGCCGTTTCACTCAGAAACAGTGGTTTCAGTGAGGAGGAACAGGCAGAAGGGAATTGGATGTTAAAAAGAACAGCGTGTCCCACCTTTCAGCCTTTCCTGAGGCTCATCAGCTCAGAGACTCACCTGTCTGTGGAGACAGTGTTTCCTCTAAAGGTAAGGTAAGATGAGATAAGATAAGATGGTACTTTATTGATCCCAATTTGGGAAATAGTTTTTGTTGCAGCAGCATAAAAGACAAGGCATTTTACAATAAAGAAAGCAAATACTGTCAGTCCATCAATTTATAATTGTGCGGAAACCGAACATAATACATTGTGTCAGTCTTTGCCATATTATTATTATACTCCAATAATTGATACAGAATGTTGGTGCATCTATGGATATTTAATTGTAAACTAAAAAATATAAAAAATAAACTATAAAGACTGCAACGTTTTTTTTATTTGATTAGAAATGGAAATGAAGAAAATGTATTGGCATTAGGTCATTTCAATATGGCAAATAGTTACCTGTAAATGGACATATTTATTTCAGGAGTTTTCCTAAACACTTTGACCAAAGAGATTTCGGTCAGGCTGCGGTCAGGCTGTAACAGCCTGAGAGGCCGAACCCAGGGCAAAGTACCTATATAAAGATGTCCTGTCTTCTGTTTTTTGTCTTATATATATTAAATAAATAAAAAATACACCCTAAAACGAAATACAATAAAGTAAATTAGAAAATCACTTAACTGTTTGAAGCTTCCAATGAATAATCTCTCAATTGATTCATTGAATGTTCTCGTAAGATAAAAAATATCAGACATCACCTCTTGTGTTTCTATGCAAAACAATACATTTATAAAGTAACTGAAGCTGCAAAACAAAAGGAGCCAAGTACCTCAAGTATCACGTAAGTACAACCATTGAGTAAATGTACTTCATTATATTCCCCGCCTGGATTTAAGTTTTCAGTCTACAGTTAAAGACATACACCCCCCCTGTGGAAATGACTCCACGACCTTTCCCTCCTGCTGCCTGAGGGATGCAGAGTGCAATGCAGCAACAGTGTGACATCACATTTCCAATCTCAGCTGCTAATCTTCAGAGCTCCTCTGCTCCAACACAGGGTTAACCTGCAAACAGCACATCCGTGAAGGCAAGGGAGGAATACAAAATAAAACCCCTGAGGGAGCCTCAACACACTGGAGTGTGTGTGTGTGTGTGTGTCTTGCAGGCTTGTGTTACAGCTCTATTCACCCCAAAGCACAGTAAACATTTGTTTTATTATGATATGAATATCAGCTCTCAGACCGAGGGGGAATAAATGATTAGCATTAATTATAATACATTTGCCTGTCAAGACTGCAATTACTTTGTTGACACACAAATTGGTTATTCATGTAATGGTGACTCATGATTCTGTTGGAACAATCAAAGCCGGGGAAGCTAATTGTTCTACTCGTCAACATTTAAAATGGCAGAGTGTGTGTTCAGCCACCATCATGTGTGTGTGTGTGTGAGAGTTGAATGTTTAACTGTCATCTCCAAGACAAGTTAGTTCCTGCTGAAAGCGCTGATGCAGATCTTGTGAAAACTCCTTCAGAGCGTCACATGGTTCTCTGCAGATCTCATAAGGAGTCAAATGTTCCATCAAAGGATCCATGAGGTCTGACCACAGTGTGTGTTACTGCAGGTGTGAGGCTCACCTCTCCGGAGAAGCCCTGTCCGTTCAGCAGGTGTTCAGAACCCTGGCCGTCCTCGCTGCCAAAGTGTAGCCGGATCTCTTCCAGACGATGGCTGTACGTCATCGGGCCCCCGGAGATGTTCACCAGATGCTCCTTGTCCAATCGCAGAGAGACGTGGCGGCCCGTGTTGTACATCGTCCCTCCCACCTGCACAAGAAGAGAGGAGGAGACATTGATCATACGAGAATATACACATATTTAATCAGAATCAGGAGAAACACATATGAACAAACACTTCTTTATAAAACCTTACAGTCCAAGACAAATATTTATGAAAGAGCAAACATGAGGCCATGTGACAGGAAACGCAGCACATTCACAGGAAGGTACGTTAACTCACTGTGTTTGTTTAACTCAAGTAGCACACAGACTGCTACCGGGTCTCACATGATGTTTTACTGACCAACAGACAGAGAGTTAAGGGTAACTGTACAGTCTGTGTAACAGTGGCCGAGTTGAGTCAGTCATTTTGTTTCAAACTGACTCTAGTCCGTCTGTAACACAGTATTCTTTAAAGGCTCTAGCATATGTTGAGTGTGCTACACTTAAATAGGATCCCTTATATTGCTCATTCATCGGTTTTTTCTCCAGTTTTTAACAGAATGGACTTTTGATTTCTTCTTCCAGATTTCATCTCCAGGTTAATGATGAGTCTGAAGTTGGACTCTCCCACAAGCACAAACATATGCAGCATAATAGTTACCAATACTTCATGACAAAAAAGTAAAGAAAAATATAATAAAATGAAGCTCTGCCAGCTTAATCAACTCTTCCTTTTTTATACTTAAAGCTTTCAATGCAATAAAGCATGAGGTCCGTCTCTACGGGGGCCGACAGGTGCAAACGCTCTACAACGGTTCAAAACATTCCCATTAGGACAAACGCTCTGCAGTTACAAAAAGGATGCAAATATAAAAACTCAAATGTGCAAAAACACATGAAAATGAAGAAACTTCTCCACAACCTGACAACACATGCAGCTTTTGGAAAACATTCACCAACTTGAAGAAACATGCGCAGAGTTTAATGAAAGCTGCAGAAACCAAACGCTGCAAGACATTCAAAACACAATGGAGACCAGGGGACACTAAAGAGTGACGCACACAGCTGGGAGACCAGGGGACACTAAACAGTGACGCACACAGCTGGGAGACCAGGGGACACTAAAGAGTGACGCACACAGCTGGGAGACCAGGGGACACTAAACGGTGACGCACACAGCTGGGAGACCAGGGGACACTAAAAGTGATGCACACAGCTGGGAGACCAGGGGACACTAAAGAGTGACGCACACAGCTGGGAGACCAGGGGACACTAAAGAGTGACGCACACAGCTGGGAGACCAGGGGACACTAAACAGTGACGCACACAGCTGGGAGACCAGGGGACACTAAAAAGTGACGCACACAGCTGGGAGACCAGGGGACACTAAACAGTGACGCACACAGCTGGGAGACCAGGGGACACTAAAGAGTGACGCACACAGCTGGGAGACCAGGGGACACTAAAAAGTGACGCACACAGCTGGGAGACCAGGGGACACTAAACAGTGACGCACACAGCTGGGAGACCAGGGGACACTAAAAAGTGACGCACACAGCTGGGAGACCAGGGGACACTAAACAGTGACACACACAGCTGGGAGACCAGGGGACACTAAAAAGTGACGCACACAGCTGGGAGACCAGGGGACACTAAAAAGTGACGCACACAGCTGGGAGACCAGGGGACACTAAAAAGTGACGCACACAGCTGGGACCAGAGCGCTTTGTGGGATAATGTGGTTGGCCTACTGTCAATGTTGTTGGAAACTTTCCTAAAATGTATGTTTTATTGGGTTATTTTAACAATGTTCTGCTCTAAGCTAGCTAGCTAACGTAGCTAACCAATACACTGATAAACACTTACAGTTATGAGACACACTAACTCAACAACAAACACAGCTTTATGATACTGGACGAACAGAACTGCAGCCTGAAAATCACCATAACATTTTAAACCATGCCTAAGTCGCAATGATTTGATATTTTAAAAAACAATAATAATAATTGTTTGGGGTTTTTATTTTCCTTTCTATGTTTTGTTATTATAGACACACGCATTTCCAAACATTTGATCTATCTCTTCAATTTACACACGGCATCTATTGCACGTCTGTCCGTCCTGGGAGAGGGATCCCTCCTCTGTTGCTCTCCCTGAGGTTTCTCCCATTTTTCCCTTTAAACTGTGGGTTTTCTCTGGAAGTGTTTCCTTGTACGATGTGAGGGTCTAAGGACAGAGGGTGTCGTATTGTCATACTGATATTCTGTACACACTGTGAAGTCCACTGAGACAAATGTAACATTTGTGATATTGGGCTATATAAATAAACATTGATTGATTGATGTTTCTTTTCATGGCTCTGTTGTTTAAGTTATCTTGATAAGCATTTTTTGGTTTTGCCTGTGTGGGCATGTGCGGGTGGAGGGAGGGAGTGGGGAGCGTAGAGAGTGTACTGTGATATTACAATGTAAATGAAATGGCATCGATTATTGTACACTATCATTAAATAAAAAGACTGAAAACAAAAAACAAAAACAATAATAACCAAACTTTCTACCTGTTAATAATTTGTTGGTAAACGGGTTTGTTGGAACACAAACAAATTGCTCAGACATTTTTACTGTAGGCTTATTTCTTGTCAAAAACAAGATCTCACACAAATGTTTGCCACATAAAAGGATGTTTACTATTTTGTGAAATATTGAACAACTATGATTTAAAACGTTTCGGAACCAATATTAATGAATGCTATTGGAGTATCTCTGTCATCAGTTTTCAGGTTGATGGAGCAGTGAATCATATGGTAGTAAGAGCTTTAAAACCAAGTGAGGAAGTCTCTTCAGCTACATGAGCGTTGGTTTAAATAATAAGGAGATGCTGCTGTCTCACAGTTTTGACAGATTCAGAATATGAGTTTTTGCTAAAGCTCGTGTAATCACAGAACTCCTACAGGAACAGTCCTTGGGGTTTTATTTAATTAGGCAGCAATCTGCGCAGGAAGAAGAAAAGTGTAACAACTCTTCATCAGACAGAGAGGAAACAGAGAGGACAGGTAGGATGAGAAGGTGTTGGAATCATCAGAATCATCTGACAATCGATATGTTGTGAGTGTTTAGGGGAAAGGCGGTTTTACAAAATCCTTGAATAACGATCTTTATCTGAAGCTCGGTTTGTTTATTTATGATGTGGAGTTGTTTCAAAGGAAGTATTGATATTCATGCCACGACTGGACTGGACTTCCATTGCTCTTATCTGACTCTGTCTCTCCTCTCCTCTCACACTCCCTTAGCTTTCCCTCCTCTCCCACTCCTATTCATTTCACCACACGCTCTCACAATGATCACCCCCACCCACCCCCTCCTCTAAATTCCCACAGAGAGAAGTCTGCCCACACATTGTAAATATTTTATAGAAGCTCTGAAAAATCAATGATTTCAAAGGAGAAATAGAGTTAAAAAGAGCGATGGAAAAAAGAGATAAGTATGTGGAGCAGAGGGAGAGACGTGTCGAAAGAGGAAAGGTAAAGAGGGAAAGGAGGTCGACAGTGAGGAGAGAACCCTGGAAAGGCCAGTTTCTCCCCCAAGACCCCGGCTATTATTCATGAGGTAGAAGTGAGGAGAAACATTAGAAAATGAGGAATGTTCAGCAATAAAAAACACATACAAGCCATAATATGCAGCAGTGCAAAGACACCAACAAATGAATATTCGAGAAGTTTACACGTATTTTTTAGTTTCCAGAAAAGCGCTCTATAAATAAAACACATTATTATTATTATTATATTTATTAAATCATGCAGTCCTCAGTCGTCAATTGGCATAACCAGTATAACCTCACCTGGTTTAAATCTCTCCAACTGTCATCAATTCATCTCCACCAACAACTGCAAATCCATAGCCTTCACGTATGGTGTCCCCCAGAGCTCTGTACTTGGTCCTCTGTTCTTCATCACCTACATTGTCTCACTTGGATCCTCAACCCCCATGACCTCCGGTTTCACTTTTACGCTGAAGTACTCTACTAAAACTATTTCTGCAGCCACACAATGCCAGCTCTCTCACAACCTTCAAAAAAAGCCCTACAAACTCACCTGTTCTCTCTTGTTTTCAATTTATAATCCTCAACCCCACCCCCTTCTTCTACTTAGCTCAGGACTGTTTTATTATATATTTGATTTCCTTATATTTTCTTGTAATGCATCTTTGAGCTCTGGGAAAAGCACATCTCCAGAATGTCGGAAATAACATAACGCTACAACAGTACTCTAAACCTCCAAATTGCACACTAAACAAACCATATGAGCCACATGTGATTGGTCAAGGTGAATGAGTGGGTGGAGACTAAAGCAGAGCTAGAAGCAGAGTGCATCATGTGGACAGAAGGATAACTCACTGTGAAGTGAAGAGTGTTGCTCTCTCTTCTGGCTCTTTAAACAGGACACATGGTTGATAGAACAACTTCATATGTCAGACTGTGTGACCTTTAGAAATAAATATGAATTATTAATGCAGCTTTAAGGTTAGGAAATCATTGTGCTTGGTTAGCAGTCATCTCCCAATGCAGTCTCCAAGTCACTTTGTTATCCCATCCACCTGACCTCCACCATGAGACAGTTTGCTGTACGGAAATATAATATTACATATATAAGGGCTGTCTACACTTTAACGGCCCGTCCACACAGCGGCGTGCGTTGAAAGCTTCACCATTCACTTTGAATGGGGTGACGTCACTTTTCGCCGAACTGCATTGTGTGAAGCGACGCGGAGCTTTGCTGGCGTGGCTCGCTGCAAAAGTTGAGCAATGTTCAACTTTTGACGCCTCGGCAGAAGCGTCAGCCAATCGAATCATATGCCAGTACAAATTCTAGCCAATCAAACCACTGCTTGTTTGTCAGGGGCGGGAGATTCATGTGATTGGTTGTTGGTCGAGTTTCAGACACACCCGCCGGCAAGCTTCAACGCACGCCACTGTGTGGACGGGCCGTAACACTTTAATCTGGAAACTTTGACCAGCCACAACCAAATGAGACCCACACTTCCTCCTGTCATTTCATGGTGTTTACCATGTTTTGCATGGCAGTGGTAAGGCAGAGAAAGTGGTAAGTA